GTTTGGCAGGCCCAGGCTGGATTCGAACCCACCACCTTAGGTGTATGTGGCTGGCGCCTTAGCCACTTGAGCCACAGGCGCCAAGCCAGAAAGGACATTTCTTAAACTGATAGAGGCCATCTACAGCAAACCCACAGCCATTATCATTGAATGGAGTAAAACTGAAAACATTTCCACTCAGATCAGGAACTAGGTAAGCATGCCCACTGTCTCCATTGCTATTCAATATAGTAATGGAAGTCTTAGTCATCACAATCAGGCAAGAGAAGGTGATCAAGGGTATCCAAATAGGGCCAGAGGAGATCAAACTCTCACTCTTCGCAGATGATATGATCTTCTACCTGGAAAACCCCAGGAACTAAACTACAAAACTCTTAGAAGTGATTAAGGAATGCAGTAGCGTCTCAGGATACAAAATCAATACTTACAAGTCAGTAACTTTTATATATGCCAACAATAGTCAAGCTGAAAATATAGTCAAGGACTCTTCCTTTTACAGTAATGCCAAAGAAGATGAAATACCTGGGAATTTACCTAACAAAGGATGTGAAAGATCTCTATAAACAGAATTATGAAACTCTGAAAAAAATAGCTGAAGATGTTAAGAAATGGAAAAACATACCATGCTCATGGCTGGGAAGAATCAACATTGTTAAAATGTCCATACCACCCAAAGCAATCTACAGATTTAATGCAATCCCTATGAAAGCACCATTGTCATACTTTAAAGAGCTTGAATAAATAGTGCTTCGTTTTATATGGAATCAGAAAAAACCTCAAATAGCCAATACCTTACTCATTAAAAAAAAAAAAAGTCAGGAGGTATCACGTTACCAGACTTCAGGCTATACTATAAATCTATAGTGATCAAAACAGCACAGTACTGGCACAAAAACAGAGAGGTAGATTTATGGAACAGAATAGAGAACCAAGAGATGAACCAGCTACTTATCACCATTTGAACTTTGATTAGCCTATGAAAAACATTCAGAGGGGAAAGACTCCCAGTTTAACAAATGGTGCTGGGTGAACTGGCTGGCGACCTGTAGAAGACTGAAACTGGACCCCCACCTTTCACCATTAACAAAAACTGATTCTTACTGGATAAAAGAGTTAAACTTAAGACATGAAACTACAAAAATACTAGAAAAAGAGTACAGGGAAAACACTTGAAGAAATCAGCCTGGGAGAATATTTTATGAGGCGCATCCCCAGGCAACTGAAGCAACACCAAAAATACATTACTGGGATCTGATCTAAAAAGCGTTTGCACAGCCAAGAGCACAGTAAGTAAAGCAAATAGACAACCTTCAGAATGGGAGAAGATTTTTGCAGGTTATGTTTCTCACAAAGGTCTGATAACTAGAATCCACAGAGAACTCAAAAAATGGGGTTATTTTTTTTTTTTTTTTTTTGAGACAGAGTCTCAAGCTGTCACCCTGGGTAGAGTGCCATGGCATCATAGCTCACAGCAACCTCCAACTCTTGGGCATAAGCGATTCTCTTGCCTCAGCCTCCCAAGTAGCTGGGACTATAGGTGCCGGCCACATGGCTATTTTTTTGTTGCAGTTGTCATTGTTGTTTAGCCAGACCAGGCTGGGTTCAAACTTGCCAGCCTGGGTGTATGTGGCTGGCGCCCATAACCCCACTTCTATGTGGGCAAGAGACTTGAACAGAAACTTCTCTGATGAAGACAGGCACGTGGCCTACAGACACATGAAAAAATGCTCATCATCTTTAGTCATTAGAGAAATGCAAATCAAAACCACTTTGAGATATCATCTAACTCCAGTAACATCAGCCCGCAGAACAAAATCCCAAAACTGCAAATGTTGGTGTGGATGTGGAAAAAAGAGAACATTTCTACACTGCTGGTGGGAACCCAGGCTAACATGACCTTTTGGAAAGAAGTGTGGAGAATACTCAAGAAAGTACAAGTAGACCTACCGTTCGATCCTGCAATTCCTCTACTAGGTATATACCCAGATGACCAAAAATCATTTTACAACAAAGACATTTGCACGAGAATGCTTACTGCAGCCCAATTCATAACTGCCAAGATATGGAAACAGCCCAAGTGCCCACTGACCCATGAAGGATTAACAAATTGTGGTATATGCACACCATGGAATACTTCACATCTTTTATGTTTAACTGGACGGAGGTGGAACATATTTTTCTTAGTAAAGTAGCTCAAGAATAGAAAAAAAAAAGTATCCAATGTACTCAATACTACTATGAAATCAATATATAATCACCTACACATTTATATGAATGATAAAACATAAAAAAAGCCAAAAAACTATAGTCCAGAAAGTAGAAGGGAAGAAGAGAGAGAGGGAAGGCAAGGGGGGAGGAGGAAGGGTCTTTGGGGGACCTTACCTAATACGCATGATGCAATGATACATTTCATAACTATTAAGAAAAGAGTATAACTGTGATGGATGTGTTAATCAGTTCAATGTAAGCATTTCACATTGTATATCAAATCTGTATACTGAACCCCCTAAATGCCAAAAAAAAAAGATTGGAAAAAGTACATGTGAAAAAAATGAGGCCCTCAAATTATCAATTTAAATCACTCGAGAATGTAATATCAATCATATTTGCCTGGCATATTTTCCTTTTGTAAGAAGAGGAAGAAGAAAATTATCTTTTGCTTATTTCCAGTAGAAACTGAAATTCTACGAATATCCTTGTGAATTATCTATATGAGCTAATTTAGGAAAAAAAAAAACCCATGACCCAAAATAGGAAGAAAAACTGTACTCAGGTATAATTTTACTAGTTATTTTACAGGTGATTGTGGCTTTAATTTTCATATGTAAAAATACTGAACTAGGATAGGAAAGGAAACCATCTGAAGAAAAAACAAGCTGATCCAAATAAAAAAAAAGCACCCCTTAGAAAATCTCTAGCCCTCTTCAGTAATATACTAGAAGTCAACACTGTGTAATAACGTAAATAATGAAACAACATTTGCTTATTGTAATTAAGAATGCTTCAATTAATAGGATATTAAAATAAGAAAACTTAATTCCACCTTGCATACTCACTTCTTCTTTTTTCTTAGTTATTACAGCAAATACTTTGGTCTGATTGTCTGTATCTTGTGACAAGCGATAATGACCCAGTAGAATTGCATCAGTTCTAAAAAATAAAAAAACACTTTAAGTCTAGGAAGCCACAAATTACTACAGTGTTTACTCAACTTGCCTGAGAAGATGTAGCCAGGATGTGAGCAAACCTTGGTTCCAAGATCCCAAAGACCTAGCCAGTAAACTCTCTAGGGGTAAGCCCAGGAATTGGTATTTTTCATAAGGGCCCCCAAATGATTGCTTTTTAAATCATCCAGTATTAGTCAAGGAAGCACTTAGTTACATTACCCTTCAAATAACCATATAAAATGGAGACTCGGGGCGGTGCCTGTGGCTCAAGAAGCCCCATATACCGGAGGTGGCGGGTTCAAACCCAGCCCCAGCCAAAAACTGCAAAAAATAAAAAAAAAAATAAAATAAAATAGAGACTGGACAGAAAGCCACAGAAAAACATTACCTGGTATTCCTAGTTCTTAAGCGAGGAACAATGGACTGAGGCTCCTCTGGCGTTGTCAGCATCATCACACTGCCATCAGGGAAGAATCTTATGTACCTACATAAAAAAGACAAAGAACAGCAAAACACACCACACACACAAAGTATCAAACATGTCCTTATTTATCAGCACTAACCCTATTCTCAGCTGTGAAACCAAAATTAAAGCATCATGGGCCAAAGAACTGATAAACCATCATTAAAACAAATGTGACTATAACCTGTTAGTCCGGCAGCAAAGAACTGAAGACATTTTATCATCTTCCTTAGGGGGGACTGTGGAGTCTTTAGTTGCACTCACTGAATACAAGTTAGAATAAATATTGCTTCATTAAAGCTCTATTTCCTAAAGCAATAATAATGTCAAACAAAAGTGAGGTCCAGTAGAATGCAATTGTTAACGTATCTATTTTTCAACTGACAGTAATATTTGGTGAACAATAAAGCACAATCTAGTCGAAAAGGCAAATGAGTATCAGACTTATATAATTTATACATGTATTAACCATTTTTTTTTTTAGTATAATTCCTAAGTTGTAATAATGGATAGAAATACTAAGGGTCATTTTGTGATTACATTAAAAGCAACAAGGAACAGACATCCATATAACTACTGAACTAATTACTTGGAGAGAGAGAATTTGCCACTCACTCAGTTTACTAACGTTGTACCTGTAATATTCCACTTGGTGCCAGGCTCTGTAGAAACCATCAAGAGACTGTTCCCCTTGACGAATATATGTGGTTTTGCTGATATACACTCCTATTGGGAAAAAACATTTTTTTTAAAGAACATAAAAATCTTAAAAAATTACAATCACATAATACACTTCCAGCTTTATTTTTATTATTTCTATATTTTCAATAAGCTCATAGTACTTAGGTTCATTAGAGAACATTTAAAGTATTTATCAAAACCAGCATTATAGATTATGATCTCTCCTGAGTCCTACAGAGTTCAACTTACCATCAAACCGAACACGTGGCCGTTCTAAAAACATCTGTCTCCAGGATGTGTACGGAACAAGTTTAATACAGCTTCTGCCCCAAACTTTCAAGCAGGCCAGACGCCAAATTTCAGGGTCTCTAGGGAATAAAGCACAAATTTAATAAATTTCAAAGGGGACATCCCTCTATGCAGACATAAATATTTTGCTATCAGCCATCTTTTATTCAGCAGGTATTTGTTCAGCACATGGGAGGCATGGATGAACAAGGCAGGCAAGGGCCTTGCTCTTTTATTGGTGGTAAAGCAAACAGAAGCTTGAAGTGGTATCTCAATGCAAAAACCAACCAACAAAGGGGAGTCAGCAGATAGGAATAAAAATGGACACTATTGCAGATAAGATGGCTGGGAAAGGCCTCTTTGGGAATGTGACTGCGGTGATGGGGAAAAGTATTCCAGGCTGCAGCCATGGCCTAGGCAAAGCCCTGAGAAGGGGTGACTGGTGGGTTCACCAGACTCAGAAGGCGCACAGGCTGCAGCAAAGTAAACTAAGTGAAGCATGGACTACATGATCTGAGAAGCAGCCAGGGACAGATGCGGCAGCATCTTGCAGACAGGAGTGGCTATTTACTTGAGATGATGTCACTGGAGGGCTCTAAGCATGATGTAGGCTTTTATTTTATTTTATTTTTTGTGAGACAGAGTCTCACTATGTCACTCTTGGTAGAGTGCCATGGTGTCACAACTCACAGCAAACTCAAACTCTTGGGCTCAAGCAATTCTCTTGCCTCAGCCTCCCAAGTAGCTGGGACTATAGGCGCCTGCCACAATGCAAGGTTTGTTTTGTTTTGTTTTGTTTTTAGTACAGTTGTCATTGTTGAGCTAGCCAGGGCTGGATTCAAACCCACCAGCCTCAGGTGCATGTGGCTGGTACTATAACCACTGTGCTACAGGCACCGAGCCTGATGTAGGCTTTTAAAAATCACTCTATTGGATTTCTGCAGACTCTGCTCTAGGGGTGTAGGAGTGGAAGCAGGAAGACCCCATGTAGGATGCCACTGCGTTATCCAGACCAAACAGAGCAGTGGCTAGGTCACAATGATAGTTGCAGAAGTGTAAAATGGTCCAAATGGAGATAAATTTTGAAGGTAGCAGCAGTAGGACTTTGTTATGAAATTAGTGCAAAGAGCTAAGTACAAGATATATTGAAAATTGACATGATTCTCATAAAACATGGTTTTGGTTTTCTAAAGAGACAGCATCTTGCTATGCTGCTTAGGCTGGAATGCCGTGGCTATTCACAGTAGAGTTTAGACCTGCTGTTTCTGACCTAGACCAGTTCACTTCTCCTTAGCAACTTGGTGGTGCCTGCTCCCCAGAGGTCACCACATGCCAAACTTAAGAGTGCATACCCGATTAGCATAGCGCACTACAGCACAGAACTCTTGGGCTCAAGCGATCCTCTCCCCTCAGTCTCCTAAGTAGCTGGGACTATAGGCATGTACACTAACCAGTTTTGAAGAAAACTCCTTACACCAGCACTGGACTGCATAAGATAAATTCCCCCCAATTTATATTGAAATGTATATTTACAATGTCATCCTTTTAGCATTACTTTTATAACACAAAAGTTTTATTCCTGAAAAATTGCTTTCTTAACCAATCCCTTCTTTATAATGCTCTCCCCCGTACAATTACAAGTTAACAGAATAACTACAAAAGTTGTCAAAAACTTGGGGGGCCAAGAAGGGAGGATCACTTGAGATCAGGAGTTTGAGACCAGCCTGGGAAATAGCAAGACTATCTCACCATACATTTTTTTTAAATGGACTAAATAAAAATTTCTAGAATTCTAGTAAAGAAACTGACAGGTTCACTAAACTGCTAGTCAAAGTAAACCAAAAAAGTTAACTGCATGAAACTGATGGAGGTAACTGAAGATTTTTTAATGACTTTACTTAAAACACTATTGGTTCTTTTCTTAAATGTTTTGTTTTCCAGATTTAAGGAATTTTTCTCTCATAAGCTCTCTATTACAACAATTTGGTCAAGTGTACCTATGTGAATAAAGGTGGAAGAATTTGTTTTATTCTCTATTTGATTCCTCTAAAATTTAGAAATGGTTCTTGAGTATTCTTATTTACATAAGTTGAACAAAAATCTACTCTCTAAGTAGGATACAACTGTAAACACTGGTTATATCATCAATGTTTTAACTGAAATATCCAATAATGTGCTTATTAAAACATCTTGCTTCACAAGTTCTCAGCCCTTAGAGTGAGTGAATAAAACTGTCCCTTCCTGGCAGGCCCAAGAAACCAGAGAGTATAAGTAAAATCTTAAGGTCTGCCTTGGTTTGGCTTCCTAACCTCAACAGGTTTTTAAATCTGAGATTCCCAAATAATCAATATACAGAAAAAAAAGTTGTAATTCTAAAGAGAAACTATAATGATAATGCACCTGTTATCAGTATATAGCTTTTTAAGTTATCCACCTGAAGACAGGAATGTTCAGGTTGAATTTGCCTAATTTCCTCCAATATTTGGCTGTAACTCTCCAACTGAAAACAAAAGCTTCTCTGTTACTAAAGGCCAACAAGTGAAACTACTCAGATGTTAAGATGCAAGCCTCTGGCTGGGCGTTGTGGTGGGTGCCTATAGTCCCAGCTACTGGGAGGCTGAGGCAAGAGAATGGCGTAAGCCCAAGAGTTTGAGGTTGCTGTGAGCTGTGATGAAACCACACTCTACCCAGGGTGACAAAGTGAGACTGTTTAAAAAAAAAAAAAAGCAAGCCTCATGTCTAATGTATGGTCCGCACAAAGTTCACTGAATAGTCTAATGTCATGACTAGAAATACTAAAACTATGAGTAAAGAGAAGTTAACGTTTTCACATTGTAAACAGCTTCTACCCCTTTTTAATGCTACCCTTTCCCTTGACAGGATAATGGCATAATTGAAGTTTTGCAACCAATAGCTTCAGCTGGTAACTTAACAGAACCTAGGAAATCCTTTAGTATCCATTGGTTAAATAAGAAAGTGCCATTTCTAATATTACATGCTATACCTGGATACATTTCCTTTGGGAAAGTTGAGACCCATATATACAAAATAAGAAAACAAGCCACATGGCTACAACAGGTCTCACCTAATTCTCTATGCTCATGATTTACTCAGTTAGTTGTCTTTAAGCCTAAGCTCATGGCTCAAAACCACTACGTGAATCAGAAGTGTCCCATTACTGTTGGTTTTACACTGAATTTTTCAAACTTTGAATCTATTACTTGTTCAATTTTTACAAAAGCAAAACTCCTAACAAAATAATACTGGCCTAGCACTTAGAGATAATGAAACACTACAGAACGGACAAAAATTCACTTAATAATGGACTCCAGGAAGACTTACCCTGAGAACCCACTTTCTTCAACCCTCCCTTGTAGCTCAAATGTGGCTAAAAGGGCTGTTGACGCTGACTCCTAGTTGCTAATCACCCTTCCCCAATGTGGGATGAGACCAGCAACCAAGACAGGTTCATCCAAGCTCTGTAGGATATCAAAACCTAACTAAATTATCCTAATAGGATAATTTATTAGTGATGCTTTTGAAGAAATATCTTGATCAAAAGGTAGAAATATGAAATTGTTAAAATTAAGATGAAATCACTAATGCAGAAAAAAAGCCTTGAAAGGCCAGCATAGTGGCTCATGCCTGTAATCTTAGCACTCTGGGAGGCCAAGACGGGTGGATTAATTGAGCTCAGTTCAAGACCAACTGAGCAAGAGTGAGACCCAATCTCTACTAAAAATAGAAAAAAAAAAAAAGCAAACAAAAAACCTAGCTGGGCATTGTGGAGGGTGCCTGAACTCCCAAGTAGTTACTCAGGAGGCTGAGACAGGAGGTAACTACTTGAGCCCAAGAATTTAAAGTTACTGGGCGCTAGGCTGACACCAGGACACTCTACCCAAGGCAACAGAGTGAGACTCTGTCTTTT